GGGGGTCAACTTTGTTTTTTTAAATGGTAACACATATTTTTAATTTAATAAAATGTTTGAGTTTTTAATTTAATAGTAAATGGCATTTGAATTTTTAATATAACTTAATTCGTTTATTAGATATAAGCATTTAAAGTTTCAAATTTTTGAATTAATATACAGGTATAATACACAAGGGATTACAAATATAGGTAGCTTATTGGTTTTTTATAACATCGATATTAGCAGGTACACAGCATTGTTATTATCAATTGTAGTAAGGTACATTGTTATGAGTTTATAAATACACTAACTGACAATACAGAAAGTCTATCTATTGATAATCATAATTGATAATAAACAATCTGTGACTGAGACAGCAATGTCATAAAAATCTAATTAGCTACCTGTATTTACAATCCCATGTGTATTATACATGTATATTAACTCAAAATTTTGAAACTTTAAATATTTATATCTAATAAGCTAATAAAGTTATATTAAAAATTCAAATGCCATTTACTATTAAATTAAAAACTCAAACATTTTATTAAATTAAAAATATGTGTTACCATTTAAAAAAACAAAGTTGACCCCCTCCAAGGCATAAGGGATGAACTTAAAAAGTATTACATAGTTAAAAATTCAAGAATATTGTGTAACTAAAGATAATGAAAAAAAAAAATGTTTAAATTATTATTATTCTGCAAGTAATTGATTGGGTTATGATAAAAAAATCACCCTGTATGTATTAGGGTGGTCCTTAGTTATAGAAGAAAAATTTTTTTTTAAGAAATTCAGAGTCATGGGCTCAAAATTTTGTTAGATTCATTGAAAAAATGAAACTGGTAAAATTTGAGTACAATAAGTCAACCCTTTCACGTGCCTCAAAAGGACTGAAGTTTTTAAAAAATGGGGTGGATTTTCTTTTTTTGAGTGTAAGTTCTTTATTTTTGAAGTTAAACCAAAAACACAAAGAACAATTTTTATAGAACTAAATGTGAACAAAAAATAAGGTAATATATTATTTTTTTGTAAAATTAATATTTTTCCGTAAAAATAAGAAAAATCAGTTTCACTTAATTTTAAAAAAAAAATGAGTTTTCAGTTATATTTTTCCAGTGTCTTAAATTTTAATTGTACACAGGTATTGCACAAAAGTAATATTAATCACCGTGATATCTTCTATAAAAAAGGTTATTTGAGTTTTTTTCGAATTATGAATCCTTTCCAAATAAAAATTTAAAACAACTACGAAAACGTGTTTTTTTTTTTAATTTTTTTTGTATGCATGTTTTTTTGTTCATAAATTAACAAATTTTCTTAGTTATATTAAATAAAAAAAAAAATAAGAAACAATAAAATAATAATTGTTTATCACAATAATAGTTTTTCTAATTTGAATATTTTTAATTCAAAATTTCTCGACTACACCTGAGATACAGCTGGCGATATTGCTGAATCACCTAAAATAGTCCAAAGTAAAGATTATAATACAAATATAATAATTTAAAATTAAAAATTTTGCAGTATTATTATATAATTTCATACCTGTAATATTATTATAAATTGCTTTTGATATTTATCCCTTGTAAATTTGTCGTTGAATTCTGTCATTTACTATTTTTATCGAGGATAATATTTCTTTGGCTTTATTGTATTCATTATTTATTTCCCATGGGTAGGATTTTCGATAAAAATAGTAATAATTTTAAATTATTATATTTGTATTATAATCTTTACATTGGACTATTTTAGGTGATTGAACAATTTTTTGTTCACATTCAGTTCTATAAAAATTGTTCTTTGTGTTTTTGGCTAAACTTCAAAAATAAAGAGCTTACACTAAAAAAAAGAAAATCCACCCCATTTTTTAAGAACTTCAACCCTTTTGAGGCACGTGAAAGGGTTGACTTATTGTACTCAAATTTTACCAGTTTCATTTTTTCAATGAATCTAACGAAATTTTGAGCCCATGACTCTAAATTTATGAAGTTGAAAAATAAGGACCTCCCTAATATGTATATTGTTGTAAAACACTGTATTAAATCTCAAGCGTATAATAAATAAATAGGTACATGAAACTTACTTAATTGTTCGTGAATAATACGAAATATTAAACTATGTGTAACTCGTGTAATTAAAAAAAAATGAACGATTATTATAAAATCATCTAAAAATATCATCAACTATTTAATTAACCATTTATTTTAAAAACCTACAATTTTTTCTGTGTAAATAATGAAACATATTTCATGACAATAGTTAAACCTGTATTATATTTATAAAAGCATATTTTCATATTGACAAGGACTCCATAATTGATAATTTTTTTTCTTGTCTTGAACAATAATTATAATAAGAATAATTTATTTATTCGTATTTTTAACATTATCATAAATCGTTAAAGAAGTTTCTCTATTAAAATTAATTTAGTTTTTTCTTTGTGTAAACCCGTGTGTCACACATAAATAATATTATTTTTCTAAGTACACCTATGTGTAAACAGTCTCCTTTATATGCTAATTTATATTTAGTATGGAAATAAAATAAATTATTAATATAGCATATATAATTATAATTACAATATTATTAAAACACATTTTTGTGCGGCTATTTTTTTTCTTGGAATAAGAAACTTTTCGAAAATGAAAATAGCAGTAACGCTGAATATTCAAGTGTACTTTTATATATTATTCGCTATTTTGCAATCTGAAGGAACACATAATAAAAAAAAAAACGCTGATATAATATATAATTTACTACAAAAACTCGGATGGAAGAATATTAATGATGTCGAATATATTAAATATAGGAACGAAAACATTTATCCGGACAAAATATTTAATACACGTGTAACATTATACAATTGCGATAAATTCATACGGCAGGCAACAATATTCCTTGGATGTTCATACATTCATGATTTAGATGTGATGTTCTTTATACTTTTTAAGTTTCGTGAACATTGTTTTGAGCTACTAAAATCTGATATCATTCGTGCACACAAGTGTACAGTCGCACTTTTAGCAAAAATGATTGAAATTGTTCCAATGGCAAAAATTATGGAAGGAGCTTTAAATGCCATAGAACAATATCATAACAAGCCAATGAAACCACAAAATAGGATTCATTTTATTTTAAGCAACGTTTTAACACATTTAAAGAAAAATGAAAATTTAAAAAAATTGATTCCTTTGAATATTGATAAGGCTTCAATTAATGCAGCATTATTTAGAATTGAGGACATGCTATCCAAAAGTATTTTAGAACTTGAGGAAGATGTGAGATATTGTAAACTAATAACTTTAGATTTGTGTTCATTGTGGAAATTATGGAATACAGAATTCAACACATTAGAATTTCAAAGAAAATATCAAGAACTATTCATTTTTTTTAATGACCAAATTAATGATTTAATCGTAACGACAATTTGTAACAAGTATATAGAACTTGGATTTAAATTCGATTTGAATACAAGTCAAACATTTTTACCTACTCCACAACCCAATGACAATCAAAGTATAATTATTTAAACAATATGTTATTTAATAATAATTATTTTTTTATTAACATGTTTAGATATCACACAAAATTCAATAAATTTTATAGAGCATAACAATAACGTAAATGCAATGAAAAATATTCTACAAAAATGTAAAGTTTTGATTATATACTATTGTAGATATAATTTTAATTCATGGTGTGCTAAAGAACATTAAATATTTTTAGATATCGCACAGCACTCTTTAATAAATTTGATGCAACCTAACAATGAAGTAGATAAACATGAAGAGATTAAAAAAGAAGGTAATTATTTTATAATAGACTAGTGTACTTTTATTTAATTATAATATGTTATTAAAAAAACCCAGCACCGGGGAACGTGGCATAGTTGGGTCAAGTATGATATCTGACAATGATTAAAATCAATATTATAAAAAACGCTTCGATGCAAATCTTTAGATAATGTTTAATTCTAAGAAATTGGTAGATAATTACAAAAGCAACATCAACTATTTACTTAATTATATCCAGATTAGTAATTCTTAGATTCAAAAACATAATATAAAATTATATACTATATAATTGTTATATTGAATTGTTTTCAAATTATTATTGATATTGATTTTTAATACATTAAAAGTAATAATTTTCAACCTACTTTATTTCGTCCTTTAAAGTGAAAGTTTATAATAAAAAAAAAACGAATTTATTACCATAACTTTTAGCTCAATTTGCAAGTTTGAAATTGACATTATTAAATAGAAAAAATTGAAAATGTTAAGATTAATATGTAGTCAGCAAATTTTAAAAAATAGGTGAATTATTTCAAAAGCTACATGATCTGATATTTCCTTATTTATATCCTGATTAAGATAAAGTATGTCGAATGAAAGAAGGATATAAATATTATTTCTCATAAAAAAATTGTATTGATCCATACACTTTTCAATAAGTTATAGCATTATAAAGTTAAAAATGTAAAATACAAATTCGAGAATTTTTACACAAAAACAGCATTTAGTTACTATTTTCACCGTGAAGACAAAATAAAGTCTGAAATTTTTTTCTATAATAAAGTATATTACATTATCTTTAATTTAAGATATATATAAAAGTGTCAGACTTTTCGGAACACTTTCAAAAGTTAAGTTAAAAAAGTTAATTTTTTGTGAAAAAGTAGTCATTATAAATTCCCCCTGTGAGCAGGTTTGATTTAGTTATTTTTAAAAAAGTTACGGCAGTTTTTAGTAAAAAAAATTGAAAAAATTTCGAAAATTAGCCATTTTTAAATTTGTAATTTTTTTGGAGGTTTCCCTCATTTACGGGGAACGAGGGAAAGTGTTTAAATTTTTGAGGTTAATGTCTTCGACTAGATAAGATTTGTGATCTTTTGACGTATCGTTGAAAGAAATCAGTTCGGTGAGAGCTGAGAAAAAGTGGTACCAGACACAAAAAAAAACCATCATAGTAAAATTAATACCTTCTCAGCTTCGCATCGAAGCTAAAATAAAAAAATATAAAACTAAATCTCGCAATGTATACAAAAAAATTGAAGTATTCATAATTTTAAAAATTAATATTCCTTGAATTTGACTGAAAATTTATAAAAATATTTTAATTTCCTAGTAGGTATTAATATTCTGGAATAATAAGAGGCACGCACATGCAATACATAGAAATAAATAGAAACACAATTTCAAATCTATATGTCATATTTTCCTAAATAATTGTAAATGATTCTTCAGGAAATAATTAATAAGACTTTTAATACATTGATTATCTTGATTTTGTTCTTAATAATGGATTTATAAGAAGCAACTCGTTTTAATTTACGTGCAGATGGAAGAAAATGCCTAAGAAACAATCTCTCCTATCTAAATTGATCGATATAAAAGGTAGCTCTTGTAAATAATAATAAAGGGAAAAATTATTTGCTTCTTAAAAGCAACTCACATCTTTCAGAAGTAGAAAATTAGCTCGTTCCAAGCATATCTTCTAAACTGTGCCTGTTCTTTATAGGCCTGCGCTGTATGTATACCTTTGTTTGAAGATCATTGCGTATTATTTAATTTAATATAAATATTTCTTTAAACAAATATTCTCAAATGTACGAATTACATAAAAAATAAATTAACTTACCCATTTTTTTTTTTATTCACAAATGATAATTTTTGAGTTTGCAAAAGCTTTATCGCGGGATGAATGTATTAACTGGTCTACAAGTTATACGCGAATGCGACTTGACAATCGGCGTTACAATAATATCTATTATAGACATAAAAATGGAAATAATGGAAACGAGAACATTGAAGAATAAATCGTTGCTCAAAATCGGTAATGGGCGGATAATTGTATGAATGTAAATATAAGTATATTGTAAATGAATGCTGTCCAACACGTTTTCAGCCATTATTTATTCAAAAGCCGTAAAGTCCTTTCGGTGACGTTGAGTGCACTTACTCGTTCCGCCCCATCGCTCCGTCAACTCTTAACGCTATAATTCCGTTTTTTAGCCGCGACGGTTGACCATTGATCCCCCAGGTGTCCATTAGACGCTACAATATTTGCTTTTGCTACCTGTCAACTTGATATCATAGATCCCTTACGTCTAAATGTCCATTAAAAACCTAAAGGGCGTCATTACACGGATTTGTTTTTTTGGTAATTTATTCTTATATTCTTATATTGTGTATACATTATTATTATTGTTATTGTATTCTGCTAACATTTAGGTAACATTTTTCTTTGTTTACATGAATAATACACACACACACCCGCCGCAATCGAGCGATTTGTAATAAAACGAATAAAAGTGTTTTTATTCGACAATAATTACTTGACAGGGTGACTGGTGTTAAACCATTAGATACAGATATAAAAATAATATAATTGCAACGTAATTATTTGGCACTTAAAATCAGGTGGTGGTTTATTTGTCAATAATTCTATTATTTTGTAAAGTTTGAAAATCATATTCCTTTTTTTCTAATTAACGACCTTTCACAGCTAGGTGATTTATTTCTTACAATTATCTAAATAATATTATTCGATAATAAAATAATAAATACTATGATAAATTAATTTTTTTTATCTCTAGAAATGATCTTTGGTAAATAAATGAATACACTTCCACACATTTTCTTTGAAAAATAATATTCTTTAATTAATATAAAGATTATACAAAACCATATAAAATTTTGAAAGATGATAATAAGAGCAAGAATATTTTTTTCTAGTATGGTCTTAATTTAGTAAACCAAACAATAAGACTAATAATAATATATTTAAAATACTTAATTATGATTATGTTTAAAACAAAATTATGAATCGGATAAATGCGGAATACTAAAAAAAAAGGCCGACTACCCAGCACATATTTGGTGTTTACAAAAGTACTTTTTTAAATATATAGATTTTGTAAAACATAAATAAATAAGTATGTATAGGATTCCACCACAAAGCTTTAATTTATTTTATTTTATAAATATTCAATAAAAAAATGTCTATACAAATATAACTACTAAAATATAATTCTGAGTTGTGTATAAAGATTACAAATAATCGCTATTTCCATACGTGACCAAGATTATTAAATTAATTTTTTTAATTTCTTTGTCAATTCTTCTTTATAGCAGTTTTGCTGAAAAAAAATTACTATTGGTCAATATACTAAAGGCAATTTATATGAATACTTACTTTATGTATAATTAAATTTGAATATTCATTGAAATCTCGTAGAATATCAGTTACGATTTGTCGCAACTCACTCTCTTTCAATCTAAAAATGTCTATCTCATTTGCTATTTTTTTTATGGATTCATTAATATTTTTCATTTTTTTCAGCTTTTCGTCTAGTTCCCTATAAATTAAAGCATACATTAGTTTTTATTTAAAATATAAGATAAAATAGGTCTCACAGTTGTAGAGCTCCAATTTTATTATTTATCGAACATTTTTCATTTTCAATTTCAATACTTAAGACATTGATTTTGTGTAACATCTCGTTATGTTCATTATTCAGCATTTCAATGTTTTCTACCAGATTTTCATATTTTTCTCGATGATCGATTAAATTCTTAGTTAACTCATCAAATTCATTTTCTTTTTCTCTAAAAATTTATTTCAAACATTTTTAATGTGTTTAAATATATTTTCAAAATTGATGATATAATGTACATAAAAAAAATCAGATTTTAGCATTAATGAATGTGGTTTAAATCACACTCATTTCTTTAGTACATAATTTGCTTAATTTATTTAAAAGAAATAGATAAAAATATAATAAAAGTGTAATGTACCAAAAAAAAAAAATAATTTAGTTAATAGGCGACTATTTTGGTCTCTTTTACTTGAAATCAAAATTTAACTAAATGTACTAATGTTATGTTTATCCATAACAAAAATTTCAATACCTAATGAAAACTTTATATACTGAATAATTGATTCACTATGCGTCATGCGATAATTAGCTTGAAAATATGAAAGTAACTGGTCGATAACAACTTTTGAACCAGTAGTTGAAGAGTTATGAATATGTTTATACTTTGATGGTAAGGTAGCGCGGCAGAGTGATACGTCATGATAATAATAACATACTCATAAACCATTCCTCACCTACAATCTATATTTAAAATTGATAAAAACTCCCGTAATAGTGGTTGTTGACCAATCATATTTTTAGTTGAATCATTTTCTATTATGTGAACTAGTTTAATATATATGTTGCAGTTAAAAATAATTATGTTGGTACATATAATGTAGATAAGAGTTAGATCTAAATAATATTTAATTACACAAAATTCAATATAATAATACTAAAAGCAATATAAAAATGAAAAACTCTGATTTTTTTTTTATTAATTTAGAAGAATTCAGTGATCAATGATAAACAAACAGGCGCGTATACAATGAAGACTATGGAAGCAATGACTCACCTAAAATAAAAATTATTTTTAAAAAAGTTCTTTTTATGAAAAATATGTTATTACACAATAACCTCTCATTACGGTTGTTATCAGTTAAGCAATAAACTATATTATATGTCTAAACTTTCATATAAATGATAAAACTCACATAAACAGTAGTATTGGTTGTCCCATATATCAATAATGTAAGACAATAATAAATCATTGTCCAGAATTGAGTATTAATTTTAGAAGATAACATATAATAAATAATACAATTTAATTTAATAAAGAGATAATAATAAAGTTTCTGATACCTCTTGCATGTGTTTATAAAACTTAACAAAATATAATATAAAAAACCAGAATAGGATTAAATATCTCTGTGTGTATTCTCTCTTATTTTTCTCATTCCTTTCTCAGTATTATTTCAGTTTACTCTCGCAACTCATTGATATCACTTATCTAATTCATACGCAAGAATTGAACAGTCACACTTAAGTTTATTGCTTCAGGGCGGGCATGCTATCATACTACTCTAGGTTAACATAAGGTGACTCTACCCCACCTATCATTGATAACCGTTAGTACTCATGGCATTATTGATAATAAAGAACATAACAATTAATTACAATAATGTTTATATTAATAAATAAAGACCTCTATATTTTTCTATTACATTCATTATTCTCATGAACCCTCGTACTCATACCAAGAGAGTATTATTATTAAAAACGATAAGTAGTAATTCCAACCCAACTACTACTCGCTACTATATTTTTTTCCTTTTTTTTTTTAAATTACTATAAATAGCTATCACTTTTACATATATATTGAAATGACCTCTTCCAAAAATTTCTTCTAGATACGCGACTAAAAATCAATCATACTGTATATGTTTCCATTTAAAAAACTTAAATTAATACTATTTTAAAGAAAAGAGAGAAGAATAGTACACATTATTTTTTATAGGACATAAAATACTAATAAATCATGAATAGAAAAAACTATAATACGTTTAATATGTTTAAAGATACTGTGTCAAGCATCATTAACCAATCATTCTGTGTATAAAACGTACGTTATAAAAGCAATTTGTTGAGTTTGATCGAACAACAAACGATATCGACTTTCTTGAGCAACCAATTCTTGTTTCAATATCTTCAACGTTTGTTTTATTGCATTGATTTGGTTCAAAGTAGCTTTCTTTTTCTCTATGGTTTCCATCTTTGTTCTTTTTAGTTTTTCATGATCAGCTTTTAGCAAATCTGGAGTTTCGACTATTTGCTCGCGGAGTTTATTTATATCTTTTATTAACTAAAACGTAGACATAAAAACTATTTATATAAAAAATAGTTGAATTTTAATTGATTTCCTATTATTATCAGTATTAAATACGTATAATTAAAATTATATACCAATACGGATTTTTAAACCTAATCATAAATAATATTTTTAATATTATTTGAATAATAATTCTCTCCACTATTTTAAACAAGTGATATCACCAAAAATGAAACCAACTATTAGATATGACAAACATTAAAAATATATATTCAGAAACAAGAGTATTATAAGGGTTTTGTCTCTAAATAAATAATAATATATAATATTATATTTTATTTTATTTTTAAAATCTATATAATGACCTGCGCAAATTTTTCTTAAGAAGCAAAATATTTTTTTGAATATATTTGGTTTCACTGTCTATTCAATATGACCAGTTTTGGAGGGAGGGTAACTGGAATTTTCATCATAGGTGTAATTAGGTAGACAAGAAATACCTTGGAACTCATAGTTGACGAATTACTTCGCTTTAACACTAATACTTTACAATTACTAGAGTAACTTTATGTTTTATAATAATTCATAACTAAAAGATAGTGATACTAATAAGATATTAATAAGAGGGTACTATCAAACTATTTTTTGCATTTTTAGTTACATATGTATTACTATTTATGAGTTATAAAATATTGTTTATATTTATCTGTTATGTCTTATAGTGGTGATAATATTATTTTTTTTAATAGCAACATACATATTTAACTAGCTAATAAATTAGAAAATTATGTAATTAAAAAAATGACTGGTAGATAATAACTTCTGGACCAGTATTTCAGAAGTCTATAACAATTTGATGCTTTGGCGGAAGAAGAAATTTCTAGTGATACAAAGAGCAGTATCTTACCTTCAGTCAATACGAGTATTTTAAGAAAAATTAAGTTGCTAGTGCTAAAAAAAAATCCTGTAAAGTACTTGAAAAATTGTTTTTAGATAATAATTAGTGAAGGTGGAAATAAAAAAAAATGACATAAATTGACTTTAGTAAATCAATTTTTTGCCATAATACCGCAATTACAATACAATAGTACCAAAGAAATTTTTTATACTAACACTATTTTTTTGTTCAATGAAATATTTGTTACTTTTTTCAATTGATTCTTGTTCTTGCTTCACATCATCCATCTCTTTTGAAGCATGTTCTTTGAGCAGTAAAAATTGCTTCAATTCTGCTTTACTTTCAATTAGATCCTCAGTTAGCTAAAAAAATCACTTTTTTCTTAAAAAAACGTATTTTAAAAAAGCATTTTTTATTACATTATTTATTTCTTCACTATACTTTTTAAATAATAACTTCTTATGATTTATAGAACTTTTCAATAACTCTTTTTGTTTCTTTAAATTATATTCTATAATCTTCAAATTTCTGACTCTTTTCATTTTTTCATCTGTTTGACTAATTTTTTCATCGCTATACTTGATAAAATTTATCATTGTTTGTAATAATTTATAAGTTCTCTTGGGATCTAAAATTACACAAATATCATAATACGGCGCATCAAAAACATATACAACATTTTATTTTTAATCGCTCTAACATATTTATTTTGGTCCATTCAGTAAAAACTAAATAAATATTTTATTTCAATTAATAATAATCCCATTACGATCTGGAGCTCAGCAAAAACCTCAGCGTCAAGACATTCAAATTTTAGAATAATTACAAAAGCCCCTGGGTATGTTTAAAATACTTTCTTTTATAAATTAATTCAATTTTCACATAATATGATTCGGGCGTCGTATGAGAGGGACGCCTCCGTTATCCCTAAAGTGCCCTAGGGCGCCAAAAAAATTTGAACACATTTTTTTTTTTTTTTTATGCGTTTTGTTTAAAAATATATTAAATTTTAAATATGAGTGTCAAATATATGATTTCCAAAGAGCAACAATGATAGTTATCTCGGCAATCAATATAATATGATCTTATCGCCATTTTTTACATGTCATCTAATAAAATCTTTCATTCTTGGTTTTATAAAATATAATAACAATAACAATAGTATTGTAGTTAATGACAATAGATTGAATTTATGCTAAAATCATTTTAAAATGCTTTTTAAATGAACATTTCAATAATATTCTTACCTCTTTTATTGTGAAAGCATTCATGAAATTTTGGCGTAAACATTTATTTTTCAAAATTATTTGGCAAATTTATAAAGTTAATTATTTTTAGTCTCTGTCTAATAATTAAAAATATTCTGAATAGTACCTGTTCAAGGGAATATCAGAGGGTTATGATACTTCCCTTCAATACACCACTGCTTTTTAGTTACTTTATCTGTGACACTGACTCATTTTACTATTCATGTCTTAATTTATATTATTTTCCTAATTATTTAGATTACTTATCATTTGAATTTTCATTAATCATAAATAGAATTTAATATTAAGTGTTACTATACAATTATAAAAATAAAAAAGTAAGAACTTTTCTTCTTAACACATAAAAACAATGTCAAATGTTTAACCAATAAAACTCACTTGGATCACAAATATCATTTAAACCAAAATCATCGACACCTAATTTTGTAAACATAAATCTTAACGCTTCACACATCTGCACTATTGGTACTGTTTCGTTGTACATTTCAATGTATGTTAGATTTAAAAAAGCTGGAATCTTAATAAAAAAAAGTTGTAGGAAATATTTAGTATAATAAAACATTTTAAATAGACGTATAATATAAAAATTCATTGCAATACATAAACTATTGCCCAAAACTAAGATAGATGTGCCTTATGATCAACAAAATGTTTTGAACATTTTAATTCATAACGCAGTTTATGAAATACTAAATTACTATAATTAGTTATATTTTAATTAATATAATATATTATTGTTTAAAAAAATGATACTAATCCAAAAAAGAGACAAGTATTTACTGTCATTTAAGTATTAGTTAATCTGACAAGTACAAATACGATCACAAAATAATAAAATTAACATTTTATATGACTTACGTCTGTCAGGTTCATCACATTGCAAAAAAATTCTCTGAACACATCTGTGTAAAATTGCGTTACAAAAGTTTGAGACGGTTCTTGTAAGTCTTTAATAGATGCATTGAATTCAGGCATATAATTGTTTATTTCCTTTATTAAGTTACTATACTCCAAGTATGCAGTTGATCTACCACATGGAGTTTTACTGGCAGTCATCAAATGATTGTTCATGTTAATAAAAAAAAAATTAATTAAAAATAAATATAAAATTTATTAACAGACAACTTGCATATTCTACATCAACAAATAGAAAATGGTATTGTGCAACGGTTTACGTGGAATGTTGTTTACTGTAATAGCGATGTTATGATCGGTGTTGGGAAAAAAAAAATTTTTTCCTAATTTTAGGTAGAAGATATTCAGAGCTTATTGGATGAATTGATACCAAACAAACAACTCGATTCATATCTATGAACAATAAACTATATTACAATCGTCAACTTATCTATATAATAATTCAAAAAAATTGATGACCTCAATTTTTTCTAATAATAATCAAATTCTCATTAAATATATATTTAATTATAAATAATATTAGTCACAAGTGGTCAAATCTAACTACACGATTAAATCTACTATTTAATAATAAAATACATACGATAAATAAAGTTATTTCCAGGTATCAAAATAATTGTTTTCATAATATATACTTCTAGATGACTGCGTTTATTCATTCAGTTAGATCGAAAACAAAAAATGTTTAGAATTGTTAAGTTAACCTTTAAAAGCATTTTCTTAAAGTTTTGAGAAAGCTTTAAAAACGCCCGAAGGTCATACATTACAATATTTACACATGACAACAAATATCAAAACAATTTTTATGTAATCTCTATAAAGAGTTTGACGCTAATTTCAGATTTTTTTTTTCACGTTCCATTGAGATAATTAGTAATTAATTGATAATTACACTGTAAAATCATCACTAAAAATACAAAACAAAAATATATTTTTAACTTTCCTAAAATTATGTTTCAATAGTTTTCAGAATTTGAGACTACTAAATTTTACCGATTTTTTGGATCTTTAAAGTTAAGTTTGAGTGTCATTTTTCATAAAAAAAAATCTACACTTTCAAATATAACTAAATATTTATTAATATTTCAGTTAAACTTACAATTATGAAACTTAAGCTGATAAATAGAAAACTTAATAAATATTAATTTTATGTTTTTTGAGTAAAAATATAGTGAAATAATTGCTGTTAATGCAAAAAGTACGGGAAAATCTTAACAAATACTATTTTTTTATATACTTTTCCAGTAATGTTCGATAGGAAAAATCTGATGCCAGTTTCGGTATCGGCATTAAAATTCCAGATAGAAATCATGTAAAAATTGTGTAACAAGAAAATGACTATTATTCTGTAATGTCACTATAAATGTATTGCACCATCATTATAAACGTACTTATCAATATATTTCATAAAATGTTGATAGAGTTGCCTATATTCTACTCCTTAACTTTGAACATAATATGCGTTAACAGTACATGTCCACATGTTTTCTTATAACAACATGAGGCGTACAGTAAATTGTTTTTCATGTAATACAAAATACAGCTATAATATATATATTTTTTTTTTTATTACTACGAAATATAATACATGATCATATGTTTATACATAGTTTAATACAGTATAATTATTCTAAAACATAATATATTACGAGGTTTATGTACAAGCAAACATAGTTTAGATTAATTAATTTATTTCAGTTATGGAAAAATTAATAAATAAAAACAGACTGTTGGGTAGTAATTCTAAAAGTACATTTTTTCTTTACAAGTATACAAAATATACACAATTATGAGCATATAATATATGCATATAAGCTTTGTATTATAACGCTTCTAAAATGAAATAATAAAATAAAGACATGTAGAACAGAAGAAAAAAGTACAAATTGTATACAAGATAATAATATATCATGATGACTAGACGGCACTATAGGGTGAAACATTAATATTTGCCAAAAAATTACTAGCTGAAAGTTATATTGTCTCTAAAACACATAAAAGTCTTCAAAAAAAATAAAATTCATAACAAGAGAGCTATTCAAATTTACAAGCAACCGTAACTGGATATAACATATATATTTTTAATTTACACATAAAAAAAAATATTAAATTTGTCCTTAAAAAATGTTGATTTGATCACCCTAAATATAACTTATAGATAACAAAATAACACTAATATATATCATGTTAAAAAGTATCATTATTATATACAGCTAATCTCATTTTCTTGTGCATTCATGTTAAGTGAAATGCCAATGTAATTTAGCATATATGTTTAAGAAGCCATCAGTTTGTTGTTGGTGTGACCATTTAGTAGATGTTGGTAGTTGTGAGCACTGACTGGAGTCTGAGGAGGTGGGAAACTGAAACCACTTAATTGGGGATGATGATGTAAGCCCCCTGTCGATCCGGAAAAAATAAAATGTTCTGCTGCGGCGGCTGCAGCCACTGCTGCCGATTCGTAATGCTCTGGTTTTACTTCTGTTATTGGCATAGGATGTTTGTTTACTAAAAAAATGTATCACACAATTATACTTTTTTTAAAAAATCACAAAAAAATAATATTTTTTTTTACTGCAGAGTTAAGAATAATAATTAGATAAGAAAATAATTGAAGTAATTTAACTTTAATGAAAAATTTCACTCTAAGATTATAATGCCGCCATAAATACCAGTAAAAACCTGTTTTTTATTTTAATATAAAAAGTTCTCGTATATTTAGTATAAAAATTATGAAAAGAAGGGCTCTTCTGTATTATAAAAAATGGAATAATCTGGCGATTGTTACAGTCTTCAGCTATTTTATTTAAAATAGACAACATTACTTAATAGTTCGATAGCGTCAATAGGTCTGTCCGCGGCAGAGGAGCTGGTAGATGCCGAAGATGAAGACTGCTTTTTTGGTTTCCGTTTTCTCGTCTGTATACCATCTTTTCTCATTGTAAGTGGCCTATTAACACCATGAAGTTTATAATATAAACCACAAGCGTTGCACACCGGCTCGCCATCATTGTTTCTCCTCCATAAAGTGGTCATTCGAGTACCGCAATTAGTGCAAGATAAACCCAAACGTCTACTTGATGCCTAAAAATTATTTTTTGTAATTAATCACATGCTGTAACACAGTTGCACAACTATCAAGAAGATTACGTCCTAAGTTGAATTATTTACACTGTGGTGATGATTTTTTTTTTCATTTGCATACATAGAACAGGAAAAACATCATTGTTGTTTTTATCTTTTTTAACATTAAATGTTTTACTAGTGCAAAACATTTTGTACGAGGCCTCGCAGTTTAATCATGTAATATACTCATCGGAGTTGATATCACCAACTTTGATGAGTATAACCGCTTTTGTGAGTTGAATTGATAACAATTTAAGTGTACTACTTACAGTTTCGAATGCGACTAAACGCTTGGCAGGTTTTACTAAAGGCCTGTTCATGCCATTCATCTTATGGTATAAGCCACAGGCATTGCAAAGATAGTGGCCAGTTCCATCACGGCGCCACAGAGGCGTAGATATGGCACCACAGTTGACACATTCTCGGCCGTCTCCAATCTGCAATTCCATGCCCGTATCTGAAACACGTTTTGTTGGTAAATATCGTAATACTTGGAAAGTGGCGCTGTTTTTGAATTTTTTTTGGTTAGTAAAACTAATTAAAAGCAACCCAGTAGACAAGAACAATGTTTGCCTACATAATTCATAAGAAAATAAAAAAGAGGAGATATCACTTCTTTTTAAACCTCGTGGCGCCACAGATAAATGATATTTCAGTGTACAAAGCAGCCAGTTAATGGACTTGGGACTAATTGATCGTGTATGGTCCCTAGGTTTGAGTAATTTGTCATGTACCACCGAGTGAACAGAGGGTTTGGGGGGAATATTAGTGCATTATACCTACTAACGCACACCAACTGACAAACTCGATCCGTACTAAAATGGAACCGGTCTTCAATACATAACCGTTACCACTACTTGTACGGTAGTCGATCGGTTATCGTTAAGGTGCACATCGCAACGACCAGTGACACGTTGGCTAAGCACTTCACCAAAATTAATATAATCCACAATGACGTCACAAATGATTTTTAAATAAATCATTGCCATGGGAATTTTATCCATTAGAATCTCATTATCAATAGATAAAAATCTATTTATGTAAAAAAAGAACATAAACAAACAAATCAGATTATTTTAAATTGATTAAATCTAAATTCAATTAAATCATTTTTTATTTATTTACAGGAGTTTTAATCTGCATTGAAATACAAAACAAAAATACAGCTCAATAAGACTTGTCTAATCGAATTAGAATGACCAAAAAATTTAGCATCGATATTTTCAGATCCTGATAGAATTGATTTTAGTGAAATAGTCACATTAAATAAATTTTTTTGAATCAAAACAAACCTGCTTACCTCGAGTCACCACCAAGCGGTTGAACAATATTGACATATTTAATAGTTATCCATCCGAATCGTAAAAAAAGTTACTTGACAAAAATATGTCTTGCTACAAAAGTAATTACTAACAAATGTACTAGTTAACTCACAGCTCGACGGTAACGAAGCAAATGAAGAAATTCTGTAATCTGATGCTTATATTTTTTCAAAAAAAAAAAACCGGATGCTATCTAAAGGGTGCATAATAGAAGTTGTCTGATAAAACAGAGATAAAAAACGTCGATAAACAAACAGGCGTTTACGGTTATTATCTAGGCGTTGTAAACTGTTATGTCGTTCATATAACAAAATTTTAAATGGTAAATGATCGTTCTTCGTACATATATTCTGAATTTATTACTTACTCAGACCGTCTGCCCTTATTTTTTTACGGTAATGAACCAACAGACCAGGTATAACAATGAGTTCACGCGATGTTGCCGATTGATAATTCTTAGGGGCATAACATTTGTGTTAGTCTGACTGCGGTTTGTCACACGTGCGAAGGTTTTAATGATTTATTGCTATTCAATAGCCCATTAATCGTTGTTGTTGTAAATGTTTTATGAGCCACTCGTGAGTACGACTTTAGGTTATGCTAACACACTAAGTGTAAGTGATCATAAACTATTGTTTTTATAAAGGGTTGAGGTAATAAAAAAGAACAAGAGTTTCTTCGACTTATGCGGTAAAAACTACGAATATCAATTGAAGAATACTTTTCAGTACTTTATGTAAAATACTTATAATTTTAATGAAAACAAAAAAAATTTTAAATTTACTCTTGGTGGAACAGACCTAATAATATAATTTTTGATACAATTGTCATTTCACAGTAATTTTTTAATTCTTACACTACGTTAAAAGCAAATCTTTTTCTTATTTGTTTTTGACAAAATAAATAATATTTTCAACATTTCAAAATAGCCATTTCTTAGATCTTTTACTAATTATAATAATAATTAATAATTATATAGCTAACTTACAACAGTTATTGTTTTTAATAATTTTTAATAAATAGAAAGAGCATACAAAGTATGGGAGGGAGCATCAACTCGTACTGATGTATATTTATGATGCACACTCCGCCCACACTCACTCAGTGTATGAAAATACTTGTAACTCAATAAATACTTGTCTTAAAGTTATTATTAAATCTTTAACAAGATTTTTACAAGAAAAGCTCTATACAATGACTATTTAGAAATGTTTCAAAAGTTAAAATTGTGGATTTTATTATTAAAAACAAATAATGAAACAGTTGCTTTTAACATAACCTCAGAATTTAAAAATTGTTTAAAAAAAAATTATTGCTAAATGATAGTTATACTATAAGAATAGTCAGTTAAATGTATTCCACTCGGGAAATATAAAATTTAAATAGAATGTAAACTTAATATGGTTCAAACAATTATCTGCGTTTGAAAATTAAGCCATTTTTAAATACGTTTACAAGTATTACAAGTGTAGTTTGCAGAAATATTATCATAAAAACTAACTTATTACATTGTAATAAAATTTTAAAGAATTATTTTATAACATACCGTCGAAACAAATGACAGGATTTTTAAAATGTTTACAAATAAATTAAGGAGAAATATTATTCGACCAATGCCTAAATTTCTAAATTAAAGAATAAAAATTAATTTAGAATACACATTTATCAATTGTCTCATAGGATTATTATTTCTGAGAGCAAACGAATTTTTAACATCTAATTACGTGGTTCAATGATAGGTTATATCACGTAAAAATTTATTTAAAAAAATCGTTTTATAGATAAAAGGATTTTGTCGTCAATGATAGAACTTACTTAAGTCAACACTAAAAATAATTGTCCATAATTTTGTTTATTAAACAAAAAAAATAATAATTATATTTCGATTTATTGTCTACAATTTTTGAATACTACATAACATATAAACGTTCAAGTTATCATGTATCAGAAAAGAATAAAAATTAAATCATGATAAAATCAATATGATTATAATGCCATATGATCAAACATCAAAAATGTAAAAAAAATGTACGCCAGTTAACAGATTATCTCAATAGACATATAATTTAATAACATTTATCACTAATCATAAAACAGACCAAGATAAATTGTTTTTAACCACGTTTTCTAATTTAAGTTGAACATAGTTATGAAAAAACATTTAATTCTCATTAATTTCGAGCTTCAATTATAACACCGATTTGTTTTGTCAGTTCAAAATGATTCTGATTGTAAAACAAAATTATATAAATTTATCTATTATGTATGATCTATAACGAAATACCATAAATCATGTGTTCAAGATCAATTTTTTTTTATTTAAAAGAAAAATATTATTTTATTATGGTACCATACAGTTTGACTCAAATATTAAAAGAGATAATAACACTTAATTTCGCTTTTATCTGCTGAAATAATTTATTTAATCACACGAAAATACATAGATATCATGAAGGCCCCTGACAAAATCGTTTAATAATAATTGAAGGGCTAACTAAAATAAAAAGATGGCGCAATATTATCTAATTTTAAGTGATAGTTAACAAATTATTAATTTTCTATATAACATAATCGAATTTGTATTATTATGTTTTAAAATACATGACAATGCTGCAGATTATTTTTTCTGGTACACGGAAAAAATAAATGGTTAATATAGTAACAACTTTAATAAAAACAACAGTTGGAATAATTAAATAAATATCATTCGAATAATCAAATACCATTTATTCAGTTATTCCAACTGTCTTAATTGCAGTTGTCACTATATTAACCGCTTATATTATTATTCTAACCGTGTTTATTTTCAGGTCATGACTTAATTTTTAAAAGAATTTTGAGCGAAAAAAAATGATCATGTAATAAAAAAATTTATTTTAATTATTCAAAAAAAAAAATACTAATTATGCGCCTGATTGAAAAGTTTTTAAATCATAATTGTATACTGACTTCTATATTTGTATATTTATAGAATATAATAATAGAATTAAAATTTAAATAATAATGTTAACATAATACATAAACATAATTATAGAAATTTTACAAATACAATGGAACCTATTTTACCTGTGTTTTTTGCTGAAAGCTAATATGCAAATTCATCTTGCAATCTGGATGATATTTTAGATTAATTAACAAAAAAAAAGATTATTATACTTTTAAATTTTCGGGTGTAATAATATAAAAAATGAGAAGGAGTGTAGTCCATACTTGGACCTTCACTCCAATTTTTATTTTTATAATCATGTGGTAGAGAATTAATACAAGAGTCACATATTTTAAATTATTAATGAAACTTTTGTATTAATAAATATTACTAATATAATATTGAATTTGAAATCCTTTTCTTTTATTGCATAGGACTTTTAACTTCAATTGCTTCCAAAAGTGGAGCTTTTTTTTTTTTTGTAGCAAATCAATTGATTCTAAAAACGCAATATGTTACATAGAGAAATGAGGATTTCAAACAGATATATGGACTACTTTTTAGTTATCATTGCAACCTTGTCTAATATTAAAGTACTAATGATTTAACATGTACCATAATGATGCGTTTGAAATGCAGGATTTGGCCACATCATTGATGCACTCTGGTAGAACGGCGTGCAAGATGATGACACGCCGCTGGTCGTGATGTTTTGCTGATGACTGCTGTTGACCGGCGAGCCGGAGGTAACGACTGTCGCATGGTAAGAACTCTGATGATGACCCACCGATGTGTTCTGCCACGAGTGTCCAACCGATGCCGGTACCGTAACCGGTGGAGGAGCTGGTGGGGGTGGGGCCGAATATTGGTGACTCAAACCAAACATACTGGGTTTTGCTGAAGGTACATACACTAAACGGTCGTGATGGTAACGTCGGTGATAGTTGTTTTCTGAAAACAAAAACGATATACAATAATTGTATTGACTTTTTATGTTTTAATTTTTTAACATCAATTACTATAAAACAAAAATTAAAACATGTTATATTAAAGCCTTTCGAGTCTACAGCGTAGAGAAGTAGTCACACTACGGTTTCTATCGGTTTATTTAAAAATGATAGCCAAAACAGTTATCTCAGTTATAATAAATAAGATTAGAAATCATTACGGTTAGATCAGATGATATCATAAGTTGGCATTTATATTAGCACACCCATTCGAAGCTATCATATTTCACGAGTAATTTATAAATATAATTTAGTTTAAACAGCTTAATCATTCAAACGATAAATACCAAATATATTGCCGTAAAATTATTAAACAAACAAATTATATTGATCAAATTACTACTTAGGTTTACGTCCGATCAGATTTCATTAACAAATCGTAACATTATCTATTTCATAACAAATCAAATCATATATAATCCATAACAGATCAAACATTCCAAAAACAGCCGTCGTTAATCTATCACTTTGAAATAACAATTCACAAAATGTACTCAAAATAATATTTTCTAGTCATTTTTTGAAATCTTTTTTTTGAAAATTTGCAATTTTCTGTTAATACACTTCATGAATTTATGACATTTGTTAGATTAATTCCAATAATTATTATTTCAGTCAGTATACGTGGCAAGTTGATAAATAGTTGTATTGTTACAATTTATATACAAATAGCTAATCTAATCTGCGATAACAATTTCAAATACAAGACTAAATGAAATATATTTACTTGTTAAAATGCGTTTATATAAATTAGGGAAAATCAAACGAGTCACTTAAAAATCATTTTTCTCTTCACAATCGGTACTTACCTGGAAAATCGATCTATGTATGACGAGATTATAATCCACTTCCAAAAAAAGAGTTACACAGGAATCTATGCCAAAGATAATGGCACTATCGAACACCGATAAACTCGTCGATTACACTAACTTAATAAATAATCAACAACTAGATAGCAATACACCGATGTTGTCGTGTCTCGGATAAACGCACAGTAACATCCAACTGTTTAAATCGCAGTTACTTGCTACATATGATCAAATCATTCAATAATAAGTTATAGCAATAGCCCTCTAAAAAAAAACTAAATGGCCGAGTCAAAGTTCATGTGTAATTTTATCAAATCTCTGTATCCATTTAATTTATTGTTTTAATCATCTTTATCTCGGTTTGATTTTCGTGCAATTGGTATGAGAATCGATAAATCTTTTTTTTTTAGTACAGCGGCCGTTGTCTAAATATTGACAGTGCGGTCATTTTTACTCACTAATTAAATTATGTAGATGAGTACTTACGAGCGTCGAGAACGTTCTGCGCGGCCGCCGTACTATTAGGTGAACATTGAAACATGACTTCATCGCCCGTCGATCACACACGTCCAAGAGATGATGGCACCAGCTGTTGTCACTAGTTATCTACGGCAACAACACTTGGATGGCGTTCGCATATCGACAACTACAATACAATAATATTATCAGTACACGTTAATTATCGCGGTCACTTCGACGGTTTGCTGTGTATCCCAAAAGGATTGAGAAATCTACCGCGTTCAAAAAACAGTGGTACGCGATTGACGTTGTTTTGGACGGAAAACAAAATTATTGGTATTAAATTTCGTACGGTGTACACGTGTTTTAGTCGAAACGGAATGCACCGGAGGGGATAAACAAATCAGATGTAAATAAGTCGGTTATCGGTCGTTTGGATCAAAGGCCGTCTCGAGCAGAGCTTTGTCACGGCTTTATCTGAAGTAACTAAAACAGTGCGAAACCGTATCACCGATGGTACCGTCCGGTCAAAGGTCACCCACAACGACGTTTAATTCATGTTAATTAATTATGGAAATTACAATAATAACAATATTTGTTATAATTATTAACGCTGTGCCGTTTAAAAATGCGTCGCGCACGCCTATAGATTGGTCATCTACAAACGCTGCTAAACGTGTGCGCGTGTTGGCACCGAGGAATTTTTTTCTCAACGATACCACCACAACGGGTAAAATCGTTAAAAACAATATAACTAGATAAGCGTTAACTGGGTTACGTCATGGTGACAAGCTCTAATCGGCCTCAGATAAGTGCGAAATATGCTGGTGAACAGGTTTGGACAATTAATGTGTTTGGCCGATAAGGAACACTGTTCGATGTGTGTGTGTCCGATAACAAAATTTGTTTTAGACATTGTTTCGGCCAAGCATAATAATTAACCTTATCCAGGTGCCTAACAGAGTTGTTATTTTAGTGGATGTGCGAAGGTATGCGGACAGATAACCAACATAATACTCTATTAAGGATATATCAGACAATGGTCAGCTTTGTGTAATGACAACACGATAAAAAAATAACAAGTATTTCACTTAATATGTGAAATACTTAATAGTGCGTATTGTGCACTATTCGCCCATAAAAAAAGAAACAACAAGAACAGTTCGTTCATAAAAATGTTTTTAAAGAGATGCTAGTGATAAGAACGACCTTTATGCATCGATATTTTTCAATCAATTTTTCGCATTAAATTTGTAATTAATAACATTTTATTTTAATTACGTACCTTTGTTGTTATTCAGATCACGACACTGTCGATTCTCGTTTCATAAACAACTGTAAATAAATGCAATAAAAAATAATTAAATTTAATAACAAATTGTTTTAATTAATTGTGTATAAACAGTTAACCGTCGTGTTAGCGATCTTACTGTATTTTTTACCGAATGAATAATGAAGTAATGATTTACCATGTCGATTTAACACCTAATCTAATCACTGAACAGGTTACAGAATAATCAGATATGGCGTTCTAATCTACGTTTACTAGTCTCATACTAGTTGAATTTAATTAAAACCACTTTAAAGAACTGTTATTGCTAAATAACATACAAAATGAAACATTATTATTATTATTACACTAGATAGTTAATCATTGATTAAATTTTTTTAAATAAATATTGTCAACCATTTGAAATTTTTCGAAAATTGCATTAAGACAATCAATATGTAGAACATTTTTTAGAAAAATATAATAACTGGAAATTAACTTAAATATTTGACAATAATAACAACAAAGTTCATGTAATGTAAATTCACATTTTTTATTTTTGTTATAATCCCAAATCAAAGTTCAGTGCTATATAATATATCACCGGATCTGTGAAAAATTAATTGGAATTACTACCCAAATATTTATTAAATAGTAATTAATATTAATTTTGATATCAATTATACGTTAACAATTAAAATTAATGATCAACTTGTGGTTAATATTATTTGATAATAGAAAAAAAGGATTTTTTGATGTTAAATATATATTTATAGTTAATAAAATAAATGAAAATATAAGTATCACTTGAATATGTAATCATTATAAATATTATATATACAAAAACATCTTTGCATTTAAGTAATAACACGATGCACACAAATATTGTTCTTTATATTAACATTAACTGATAAAATATACTAATTATATCACAAAATATTAGAAAATGACTAAAGCGTAGTAATTTATTATCAAAGTAACTCTATAGAGTTATTGGCTGATGAAACATAAATTTACATGCTTTAAATTAGATTCATCTTTATTACTTTATCAAAAAAAACCTTATTAAACTCTAATTATAAAAAATGTGTTAACATTAAATTCCCCAAAATTAACAAGTCCCCAGATAAAAAAATGAGTCAATAAAGATCATTTGAAGTTAATAAGTTTGGTGTCATGTGTTTATAATTTGCTTAGGACCCAAAAAATCTTAGCGCCGACACTCACTACAAAAGAACACAGGCCTTAACTAAATCAACTGAAGACTTATCATTTTTTTTTTAATTTAGCTAATACAATTTTTCTTATTATACACAGATTGGGTATTTTTAACTGAGAAATTTTAATTTATCACTATCTTATGATTTCCGAGATTTATTAGTTGTTTATAATAAAATTATCCATGACTAATGAACATATCAATAGATTTATAGATTTATCTTAAAATTAGATTATTTTCAAAGAATACAATTATTTTTTCCATAGAGATAATCAATTCAACCGACCTACTGATTTTATGCTATCAAATAAAAAGCACAATGAACATTAATTGTAATAATTTATCTTTAAAATAATCCATATATTATACACAAAACAAGGCATAAGTTCCATGGCGATGGTTCATTTTTATTGAATCATTAACATGCATCAATACTTAACAAATGTTTATACTTCAAATGAGTTGTTCTAATCGTTTACACTTGTGAAATAATTCTAATGTACATAAAAATACTATTTGTGTTTGTTGTGAAAACTGTATGATTACTTAAGGAACATCTAAAGTGTGGGAGGTAATACATAACAACATTTCGATGTATGTTAACGTGTAATGTAATTACTGTTGTGCATAAGTCTTAACTATAGTGTATGACAATATCTAATGTAACACTGCCAACAGTCTAATAAATAAAATAACTCGACTACGACTCAATAAATACAAAAAGGGTACCTACGATTAAATGATATTTTGTCGTGAGCATACTATATATATATATATTATTAGGTACCATATTATCAAAGTATTCATAGTTTTATAGCTAAAAAAATAGATTTCATCGTTCAACATTTAAGAAAAAGGAATTTTTAATACTGATTGTTTTTAGAGAAATGTCGAAATAATATTTTCATAGTGACATATTTTTTAAGCTTAACTATGGTGCATAATAAGCTTGAGGCTTACAAACAAAAAATCATTCTTTGTTCTATGCTACTAACAAAGAAATGTCCAAATTAATATACACATTAGATCCTAATACGATTTAATCCGGTGCAAGTGTGAGTGCAAACCGGTCCCATCAGTCAATGTTGTTTTAATCACTACTATGTTTTGTAAATTATTTTTTAACAATCCACAAAGACAGTTTGAAAATCTTTCTTAATGTGGATTTAACGATTCGAATATTTATAGTCTATCTGGGAATTCTTGAACATAGAACGTACTTTACAACTGTAACATTATGTTGAAAATGAGTAATGATAAAAAATTATACACCTTATTAGTATTGACAAACAACTTGTTAAACCTTTTTATTCATAAAATAATTGATAAGAACAGTTTCTGTATCACAAGACTTGATATTCTCAGTGATTACAATGATTAAGATCAATCATGATAAAAATTATTATTATTTAAAATTAAAAAATCTAATCATCTAAAATTTGTACTCCATAAAATTTAAAGTGCACAGCTTTTATAGTTAAAATTGTTTAGAATGTACTGAAAAAACAGATATAATCATATTAATTCAAAAAAAAAAAATTTTATATCCATATTTATTTAAATTTTAATTAAAAAATTTAAATGTTAATATAAAAAAACTTACATTAGCTAGATAATAGCAGAAAAGTACAGTCTTAATTGGTAAACTACTTAATAAATAGTTTTGTCTATCACCGGATTTGTTATGGTATTTTTTTGTATTCATGAAACAATTTATAATTTTTTTTTAATTTGATTAGTTGGCAATGTTTTATTTTGTTGTGACACTTAAATTTTTGTCCAAAAGCAATTATTTATATGAGAACTTCTTGTAAATGTATTATTCATTTTAATTCGTGCATTTTTTAGAATAAAAAATTAAATTAAAATAACATTGAAAGTCATTATAATATTTTATAAAAATACATTTATATAGTATAACTCCTAATTTGCGTTTAGGTACACAAGCAACTGGTTTTTTAGTTAGAACAAATTTTAAATTAATTAGTAAACAGTGAATATGAACGTGTATTAGAGTATCTATCGAGTAGTTAATCACTTTTTCATTTTACCGCTCACACGAAAATTCCAATTAAAGTAAAAAAAGGTAACTAATTAAAAAAACAGAAAATTGTTTAATGCGAATGATATCTCTGAAATATTATGATTTTCTCGACAAGAGACAAATAGTGTCAAAAATGATAATTTAAAAATTAAAAATGACGGAAAAGTACATTGAAATGCTTGGCCAGAGTTGAACAGGCATTTACGTCATTGTTTATTTATAAAAAAAATAATAGTAGCTTTCTATAAACGCACCGTATTAATTAACGTAATGTGTTTCCATCAAAACGTTAACCGTTAATCACTTATAAGTAACAAAATTCTTTAAAATACATATCTTAGGAGTTTAAGTTCTTTATGTTCTGAGCAGGCGGATTTTGTTTCCTGAGGCGCTCGTAATAACAATAATTATTTATTAACACTGCAGAAACGTGGACGTTGTTCCAACACCACAACGTTTTCTCGTAAAACACTGCCAGTCGTTAAGGTGCGAAATTCTCAGGAAACCAATAAACATAAACATATGGTAATTATATTCTATTTAGCAAATACAAAATGCGTGTCTATTAACTGTGCTCGGCCACAAGAGATCACAAAAATAAAACAACAATTCTAAATGCAAACTTTTTATATCGGTTATAGATTTTTAATGGAACTATATAATATGAATGGCGTTTGTAATTAAATTATTACACAAAATACGGTTCATATTATTACTCTGGAATCGTCAAAATAATAGATTTGAATTCATTGAGTACGAATTAGTTATGGAGTTTAAACAACGCACTAACAGTTATCTGGTTTTAATGCAATACAAAATATATTTTTTTAACACCGCATAGTATCCTACACATAAGAACGTTATTTACGCCGTAATATAGATCACGTTTTTCATAGATAACGTTATTCTAATCATGAGATTACGCTGATTAGGTAATAAACAAACACTGATCAGAATTTGTATACAAAATGTTGTTTAAAAAAAAATAATGACTTAACTAAACATTTATAAAGTTTTAATTATAAACGACGATATCATAGGAATAAAATCATTTTTTAACACGCTTATTCTTCTCAGTCCTGAACTTACCAACTGCAGAGTTCAACTTCGAGAGGTACGCGTGTGTCCATTCCCATAAAAAAACAATTTATTCATCCGAGTTAATATTTATACTTGAGGAGTGTCTTTAATTTGTTTTATATTATTTTCGATCTCAACAGCCACGACTACGCATAATTTGAAACTTATTAAATATTTCAAGTAAATTAATTATGAATTTTGTTACGAACATTTTAATAGTTGAACTGTTCTCACATTTAAAAAAATCAAATCTTTATTAATATCAAGTTACATATTTTGTAATAAAATAGAGTGAAGAAGCTATATTTCGTATTAAAACCTCATTGAAATATTTTTTTTTTACATAAATAAGGTATTATAAATATAGGAATACCATTAAAAATCAATTGTAATTAAATTGAAATATTTATATCTTAGATAATAAATACATACTCGTCTAATACGATAAAAAAGTCTTAGTCTTAAATAAATGAAACGCTTTATTAAAGACGAATCAAAAAACAATAATAACAT